ACAGCTATAACTATGTACATCCTATGATATTAGGCTGCACACGAGCAGCTTTTAAGTACCTTACAAGGTCGGCCATTCCTACCGGGAAGTATCTCAAATTGTTCCATACACTTTGGTGGGACATTGTTTGCCGACAAACAAGCGACACTCATAATTTTGCATTTAATTTTGGAGAAGTACCTTCCTAAGCAGTTGTTCCACTCAAGTCTTCGGGTTTCCACGCAAGAAAGCGAAGTTCGTTTGAGTCGCAGTTGCAGTACTGAGGCAAAATTTACGTGACCATCATTAGCTTCGCTCTGAATTAATTCTGTCGTTAAATTATCTTTTAAATCTTCGGATATATTTTGATTCGAGGGTCCAATCAAACCATTGCTGTATGTTCGTCTATGCGATGATTGATCGACGTGAACAGACCTTGAACGTACTCCAGAAAAAATAAAATAATGTACCAAGAAGTAAACAGCAACCTGTAGGAAAAAGCCACAAGATTTTTGTCTGAAATTTTCCCTTTCCACGTGAGGTTTTTCGCTTTTAAAATAATTGACGAAACATCTCAAAATGTGTAAACACAGTAACGAAAAAACTCTGACAGGTGGTCTCAAAGCTCTCAGGTAATGCTTCAGCGACGCTGAGCTCTATATACTGCAATTAACGTTCTTACACAGTCTTAGACGCAACTATAGATAAAGATAGTGGTGTCGGTATCGCTCGTGATCCATAATCTTTTTATCACTTCATTGACCACGTGTTGATATTTATAGCACTTACCACGTTTAACCCGTCGGCAGATCAACTTAATTGCGCATGCTTCCTCGAGAGCAGATACACACTTTGATTAGTCAATAAACTGATGAACATCTCCAATTGATGCCGTGTTTGAAATCAGAGAGTTCTAAGCTCAATCTATGCTGCGTCAATCTATGCCGCGAGAGAACGGGAGAACGCACTTTTTTCCCTAACGAAGTTTTTTCTTAAGATCGTCGTTAAGAACTAGTTTTCTTCAAGGCACGAGAAAGTTTTGTCTACTTGTATGAAGAAGGATTGATAACTGTTATTGACAAATCGTTATTATTTACTGAATTAAAACAGAAAAGAGAACGCCGAAGAAACCTTCTCTTAATGACCGATCAACCAACCTTAAGATTAATTTTTGCCATCATTTTGCTCCTCTACTGATGTTGTGCCTGTATCCGAGGAAAAGTCTCTCAAGTTGTATCCAAGGTATGATTTTCATGCAGTGGATCTTGCTACAATTAGCTGTTGTGATGGCTTTTATGTACTGTGACCAAAAAGGAAAAACGTCCCCCTAAATTTAGATTAAATGTAATGTTGATTTTTCTCTTTTTGTTTCGAAATTTAATCCGAAAAAACCGTACCAAAGGTAATTTATACCTTAATAGGCTTTGTTACTTACGTAAAATTATGTACTTTCCCTTGTGGTTATTCCTTCCTGTGATCAAAAATGCTACTTTTATATTTGCAATTTTCAGCATTGCTTACACGTTTCTTTTTGCGTGTGTTCATTGAATATTGTTTAGAATTCCGAAAAAAACGAATTTCCAGATAGGTAGTCAAAAGCGATGAACCTTAGTAATAGCAATTTTTAACTCAGAATTGGAAAATCGTGGGCAATTTTGGAATTTAAATGGAGTTAAAGGATCATAGTCACTTTTCCTGTTTTGTGGGCGTCTGTCTCTAAATTCAGTTTACGTTCCTCTCAATCCAGTATAATTCCGGGTTGTTATGGGCCATACAATCCAAATGTATGACTAAAATAATGCGGAAATTTAAATGGGGATTACCTGATCAATGGCTGTTGACGATACATTGGAAGAATTCATGACATGTCAAGGTTACCCTTTCAGAAGGGCATACTCAAGATTACTTTTTTGATTATTATTCGATACAAGTCTAACAGTGTACACCTATCTTTTTTCTGTTTGTTTATGTTTGTGTAGAGATTAGTGAGTGTTGTTGCTTCTTCCTCTTTTTCCTGATTGTCTCTAATTTTTCTTTTCGGGGTTAATTATCGAATATCGATCGTTCTTTGTGTCCTCTAGTTGAAGGCGACAAGTCAATTAGCACTGTTTTATTTCGAGATAAGAGAAGGATAATGTTTCAGTGGGCATTGTTTGCTGAAACTGGTTTCAGCCGAACAATCAAAGTAAAAAACTCGAAAGTTTACTAGATTTGACGACCCGAAAAATAATTCTCTGTTGGAAAATTTTAAACACCTTAACTAATCACTTAGTTATTCAGTTCCTATACCTTAATCCAGGATCATGTTCAAAAGGAGAGATAGGATGGAACTTTAATAAGTGTTTTCGACAGTTCGTTTTTCAAGAACAATATTATTATTTAACTATTCCTTTGGATAAGCAGGGTCATTTATGTGTTCTGCGAAAGTAGGCCATTGAAGGGTGGAAGCATGCATTTGCAGCTTTGGTGGACTTAATTTTCATGGTCTTGCAGAAACGAAAAAAACATTCATTATCCAGTTAAACATATCCTGTTTGTAGTCTTTGAATTATTTCAGGGCTTCATCAGTGTCAGTATCACTAGTATGGCTAAATAAGAAGTAAAAAATTTATTAACTAAGTAAGTTCACTGGCAAAGGATCTCCCGTGTTTTATTGTACGAGATTTTTCAATCTTTTTTTATGTGATAGCAAACTTAAGAGTTTAGTGTTTGAGTATCGAAGTACGGAAACCTACTCAAACATAAGGTCTGGGGTTCGATTCTTCGAGGGGATTTATATATTTTCTTCTATTCGTGATCGAACTAAAAATGTTCCATTTATGATCTATTGCTACTGGGGAAAAAAATTTATCGACTGATTAGCTTAACTGGTTGTCGATCCCGTGTATGAAAGGAGATCCTCATTCTTTACGTGGGATTCAGCAGTGTTTCAAGTCATCTAAATGTTTACTGGCATACCTCCAAAAATAAACCTTTTTGATTGACCTTATCTCGTGACTAACACCTTATCAGAACTGAAAGTGCGTCAGTGGATGAAAAAGGGAGATTCCCCATTGAGGACTGAGTAAAAAAATAAACTTATTCATCATCTGAAACGAACTTATTCAAAACTAGATATTAGGAGAAGTTATCAGTTGATCGTTTAACATCTCCGCGTTTCATGAAACTATTTAAAAATATTTGTGTTTCGGGTTTTTCTTGGCTTACTGATTTATATTGAAATATAGATTCAGGAGATCAGGCGTTAAACTTCCTAAAAACATTATACAAAATCGGAAAAAGTTAGATTACGCGCTGAAATGTCGAACAACCAGATGTGTGATGTTTTGCGCCAAACAAGAAGCTTGCTTCTTTGTTGTAATTCAACACTCTTCAATGAGGTATTTCACTGTATTTTTGTTAATGCTTCCGTGCGTGACGCGGTATGTACGTGGACATACTAAAATATGGTGTTACTCTGTTTACGGTAGATCTGTTATTCCCAAGTATTTTCAAGCGGCTGTTAGAGTGAAAACCAAACTTCATAGATAAGGATATTCAAAAGCAGGAGACGTTTTATAAAGATGCAGTGCAATGAAGTTAAATGAATCCTTTATCAGGATAAATCTGAACTGGGCTGGCAAATTTGTGTAACGCTCATCATCATAGCAGTCTGTCGGGGGCGATAATGACTATTTCACTTAGGTCTGGTCAGATTCCTCCACGCAGCTCTG